TGATGCCAAAGAACAACACATTGATCTCGTTTATTTATATCTGTGCAGCCCTTGGCTTTAATTTTGAAGTTGATGAAGGAGGAGAAGAATTTTGCCGTTCAAGAGAACAATAAGCTTCGAGAGGAACTGGTTAGTGGGTTATACCTGATACTGATAATTCTACCTAGCTTTGTAGTAAAAATATTCACTCGTTGCTTTTACATTGCCTAAACATGGTTTTGGTTTTGCGCTTTGTGTCTTCAAGTACTATTGCATTTCATGATCTCAACAAGTGCAGAACTCTGCACCTATTTCCTGATATTTACGTTTTCATTACTTCTCTGCTACATCGTTTTCTGCAGTCCAGTGAGATCTCAATTCCGGCGTACAGTTTAGTTCCATATTGACAAAGTTTATTGTTTCATTTATTGAATTTTACAGCGTCTCCTAAGACGGGAAATCAGCAGGCAGAATGTCGGTTTCTCGCTACTTTTCGTACTCGTGGCCGCTATTCTGGGCGTCCTCCTAGGCTTTTTCATGAAGAGATGAGATTCTGTAACCATGCAGGCCGTTTCAGTTCTCTGTCAAGACCTGAATACGATACGTGCTCTCGGTCTTGTTAGCCATATGTACAACCCATGGCCTCTTATCTTTGTATCTGATGCCTCTTGTAATTTTTTTAATTCATATTAGCTGCTATAGTCAGTCAATAAGTCATCTATCGCCCTAAGCTCTCGGTATTTGTTAGATTGTTAGTGGCCCTACGGTTTAGCCTATTCGATTATGTAAATATTATGGCTAATTATTTGCATCTTTTGGCACCTGTAAACAGAATAGTTGCTTTGATACTATGGCTTTGCAGTAATATATACATTACTATATATGTAGAAGTTATCTGGTTACTTCATCATATGACAAATGCTGCAGTACGTCTTTCAGGCATTTCTCACTTGAATAGTAGAAACTGAGACTGGTATATGGTTTACCCAGTAGGTTCCTTTTATGCAAGGCTTGTCCTGGTTGAGAACTTGAAAGAGAGCATCTGGACCTAGCCATAATCTCTATGGAGTGTTGACCCTGTAGAATCATAGTTGAGTCCTGGTTGATATACATGATCAGGAGCAAGGTTTTTTATTTCGGAAACAAAATATTTTCGGATCCCACTGAAATATGCGAAATTTCAGAAATTTCGCTTATTTAGGAAATTATTTCGGATTTTTGAGATTTCAAATTTCACTTAAGTTTAATGAATTCAAACATAATTTAAATTTATTTGAAATCAGTTTCAATCTACCTTGAAATTTCGGGGTTACAAACACTGAAATATGCGAAATTTCAAAAAATTCACTGAAATTTTAAACCCTGATCAGGAGTTCCTGAATTCTGCTGCTTCGTTGTTGAGACTTCATCTATCGTGTGGCAATCGGTTTGGTTAATGTGTGTCGATCCGCAGTCGCTGTCCTGTTGATATATGCTGACTTCGATACATAAATGCTCCATTTTTTTCTCTTTTATTAAACCATAAAATGAGTGCACGTTTTCTAGAAGAAAAAAGAGTGCACTGTTGCTTACGCTTAAGTACAGTACAAAAAGACGCACAAGTCGGCAGGGGAAACAGAAGTATGAGTATAATGCAAAAGAAAAAACAGAAGTATGAGCAGGGCCTAGCTTTCCATGCTAATGCTAAGCTCTTTTTTTTGCGAGGACTAATGCTAAAGCTCCTTGAGAATGAAAAAATGCTCTAAATGTTCAAACACATGCAAAATTGTCTGTAAATGTATCGTACTAAAACTTCCACACTTTTTTTCGAGAGCATGTAAATTGCGTGCCTTATCTTAAAATAGAAGGCAGGGGTAAAATATAAGAACGACGGACAACTCCCATCACAATCCGTAAACTTCTGCACTAGAGGAAGCAAATAACCCCTCCGTACTTGAAAGTTTTACATTTGTCCTAAGTCAAACTAGTTAATGGTGTCAAAAGTGCTCATATATTATGGGATGGAAGGAGTATATGCCAGAACCATGAATCAGTTGCGAGATCTTATGGTTTTCAGCTCTAGCCTACCCAACTTGTTTGGGACTTAAGGCTTTGTTGCTGTTGCTGCTGCTGCCGCAACTAGTTTAAGTTTGACCAAATATATAAAAAAATGTGACTAGGTCAAAATTTTAACAAGTTTGACTTAGGACAAACCTAGAACTTCAATTGTTTTGGAACAGAGGTAATAGCTTCTTTTGGTAAGAGAGACCACAACAAGCAGTCATAATACCCTGCAAATTTAAAGTTGGATATCTGATAACAAGCATATTCATTTTGGTCTTGGAGTTTAAGAAACGTAATTGCAGCAGATATAAAGAACATTGTCGCAGTAGGTTAACCCAAAATAAACGCATTCACCATGAACATAATCGATCAAAGGAATGGCAAAAAAAAGAACATAATCTTAATAGGATTTCTAATACCCTTACAAAATATATTGCTTCAATTAAAATAACAAATGGAAACAGAGGTTAATGTAAAAAAAATCTTCAACAAGACGTAAATGGAAGGGGATCAGGGAGATCTAATATAATCTTTAACTTTTCTAGATGTTACACGTATGAACATTCAAATAAGAAGATGTTGATATTACAATACAAAATTAGTACAACCATGAATACTAAAAAATTGAGCAAACTTTATACGCGAGTTCTCGGGGAAGTAAAAAACTAGGGAGTTCTCAACGATTGCTATCCTCAAGTTTTGAAGCATTTCGCTCCTCGGGCTTTGAAGCATTTCGCTCCTCGGGATTGCTATCCTCAGGTTTTGAAGCATTTCGCTCCTCGGGATTGCTATCCTCAGGTTTTAAAGCATTTCGTTCCTCGGGCTTTGAAGCATTTCGCTCCCCGAGATTGCTATCCTCAGGTTTTGAAGCATTTCGCTCCCCGAGATTGCTATCCTCAGGTTTTGAAGCATTTCGCTCCCCGGGATTGCTATCCTCAGGTTTTGAAGCATTTCGCTCCTCGAGCTTTGGAGCATTTTGATCCAACGTTTCAACCTGTTTAATTGACTTTTCTTTCCTCTGTTGTAGTTTTTTGTATTCATCAGGGCTGAAGGGAGGAGGCAGATTGCATGGGCCTGCAATGTTCGCAGACTTCACCATGGAGTCTTGCATAAACTTCTTCTCCCGACCTATGGCTTGGCAGGCCAAAGATTCGGGACAGACCTCAACAGCTTCAGGTGGCTTGGTTGGCTTGAATCTTAGGAGCTTAGCATACTCAGTTAAGAGGTGAAACATGTAATCGTATATATAGTCCATACTAAGTTCTTGTTGAATGAACTTGCTTGCCTTCTTTCCTATTTGTTGTGCCTGTGAACAGTTTTTGAAGGGGAGGTGTGAGAAACATGTTATAAGCGTACAAAATATTGAGTGGCATGATATTTTCTACAAAAGAACAATGTGTTTCAGCTCATAGAAAAACCAGTATGGTCATTTGTAGCTGCTAGATAGTGCTGCATAACATACCTTTTTCTTGTGAGAATTTCCCCAGTCAACAGCATACTTTATGGAGCCACACTTATTGTCATCTCGAACTGGCCAATAATGCTGAGTGGGCATCAGCACCCTTGAGAAGAAATCGTAGTATTTTGGTTTAATCACCAGCGTCATCGAATCACAAGCTAGGATATACTTCTCACTGACTGACCATGCTGATCCTTCAATGTAGATCTTGTACCTATCACCCATCATAACAACTTCAATACTGACGACAGAACAAACAAGTCTTGCCTAACTTTTAATCAGAAAACGAACCTATGAGTGCATTGACTGGCCAAATTTGATTTCTTGTATCCTGCCTTGCTTTCTTTGATCCAATCCTAAATGAGAATGCAAAAGTAAACACTCTATTCAGCTCTAGATCAGAAGGATTAGAAGATTTGTAAAAAAAAAAGATTTGACAAGATATAATAGGGTTTTCTACTTGTGAGAATAAAATGGAAAACTCCCTTCAAGTATAACGGAGTGTACTGCAACATAAACACAAACAGGTACCTGTTTGAAAATCCGTGCATTCCATTCTTGTTCACTGGACACATTACACTTAACCAGCTCTTGCCTTATAGCTGCGACATCTGGATTCCCTTTCCAGTAAGCATAAGGTTCTCTATCTATCCATCTCACCTTCTTATTGCCTTCATTCAAATCCTTCTGCAGTGCATCCCACGGCTTTATGTTTATCTCGGCCCTGTGACCACAAAAGTTAATTTGAGCATTTATACTTTGTTTAAAAATCAAAGCATAAAAGAACAGAGCTAATTTTGGTTCACCATTTACTATGAACTTAAAATTTATCCACTTCCCAAGATACTGAACTTCAGGAAAGTGTACTGCTCTTTAATCCATTGTTACCAGTTTGCGTTCATTGAGTTGCTCTCATAGCAACAAAACAGGGGATCCAGTTGATACTAAAGTAAAGATATGCATCCACGTTTCATACATGCACAAAATATAGTCAGTACCAGTACGGCAGAGGTATGCTGATCGGCCATGACTATTGATCGAGTCAAAGAATCAAAACTTATGTGCTCCAAACCATGTGTCACATGAAGAACATTGTCTTTGTACTATTCATTCCTAGTAAAAACATGATTATCATAACAGTAATGGTGCATGAATCGCAGGTGATGATTCAAGACTCCGGACTCATTGCATTATTAGCGAGCAGTAACTCAGATGTTAGGAAATATAGGAATGCCAAAATGCGTAAGAAATATAAGAGCGAAAGAAGGGAGGAGCAGTCACTTACCAGCCCCAGAAGGACCAGTCCGGGAAGACTACGTCGAGCGTCTCGTTGTCGCCGCAGTAGCGGAAAAGCGGCGGCATGGCGGTGGCGTTGTCCCCCTGGTACTCGTCGGCGTGGACAACCGGCCAGTCCACGCAGTCGAACATGAGGTCGAGGTCGGGGACGCGGCCAGGGTAGCGGCGGAGTAGCTGGAGGATGCCCCAGATGGTGAAGAGGTCGCGCGTCTGGAAGGCCGGCGCGATGCGCTCGATGTAGGCGCGGCCGCGGAGCACAACGAGGCGGAAGTTGGCAGTGGCGCGCGCGCGGTCGATCATCGCGCGCGTGATGCCCCCCGCCGCGCGCCATGGGTGGAGGTCCTCGTGGATGAAGCGGAAGTAGGTGGGGCAGGTGGCGTTGGCGTCGGCGTCGGCGTCCGCGGCGGGGGGGATCGGCTGGGGGTCGGGGACGGAGGCGCAGGTGGCGTTGGCGGAGAGCGCGAGGGAGAGGGTCTGGGAGATGTTGCCGGGGATGTCGGGGTCGCGGGTGAGCGGCGGCGCCGAGCAGGAGAGGGAATAGGTGGCCGGCGGCGGCGGCGGGCCGGCCGGGATGGCGGGGATGGAGGTGGTAAGCGTGGCCGTCAGGATTGCCTGCGCGGAGATCGGATCGACGGCTGTGAGTATTCCTGTTTGAAAAGCTGATATTTCGCAGCAAAACTGAAATTCCAGTGTTGTACACAAGCCAACAGCATTGTATCCTACGTGAAAAATGCTGTTAAAATTCCATGCAGCGGTATATGCAGAAAATTATCCTTTGTTCAACTATATTCTAGGAAGAGTGATATGGTGTTGGAAACAAGAACGTACTAGCACGTCCAAAATATATTAAATCAGGAATAGAGATAAGAACACCATAGCATACATGCATGTACCCATGTCACTCTACTAGTCTAGTGGAGAGTAAAATAAATTATTCGGTTCAAATCCGTTCAAACAATAATCAAACAAAATAATTAAGAAGGGAGTGAGCTTACCTACCGGCTGTGTGCGCCACTGATCCAGATTGGTGATTGCCAGATGAGTCTGCATGTACCGAGACAAATCCGTGTAAGCGTGGAGAGCCCAACGGATCGCCGTGACTCACGGGGGCGTAAACATTCTGACGGAAAGAAATTGCGAGCAAGGCGGGACTCACGGTGGTGGTGATCCAGCGGGCGGAGACGAGGACGCCGACCACGACGACGAAGAAGAAGAGGAAGATGGCGGTGGTGACCGGCGACGAAGGGCCGGCCTTGCTCCACCTCCGGGCGTCAGGGACGGCGGCGGCGGCGTCGGCGGCAGCCGTGGCCATCGCCCGCCTGGCCGCCCTCGACCTCCCTTCCACCTCTGCGTCTGCCTTCTTCGCGATCTATCTGCAGGTTTGTTTCCCCCGCGTTTGGCTGGCTGGGCTGCCTCCTGAAAAACAGAAAGAGGAGACGAATGGAGTGAGCCCCTGCGTCATCGCGGAAGAACGTTGCGGTTCGCGCCGATCGCTCAGGGGGAGGCGTCCACGTCGCTGCAGGTCTCCTGGGCCAGACCTAAGGCCTCCTTTGGTTTAGAGGAATTTCATAGGAATTCTAGAGGATAGGATTCTTATAGGATTTTTTCCTTTAGAACCCTTTGGTTCATAGGAATGGATTCCTATTCCTACATAGGATTGGTTCCTATCCTCCACATTTCATAGGAAAATAAAAAAGAGCCTAGACTCAATGGAAAAATTCCTTTGGTGTCAACCAAATGACATCTTGTTTCCTATTCCTACTCATAGGATTTGAGATACATGTCATCTCATTTCCTACAAGATTCCTATTCCTATGATAATCCTATCCTATGAACCAAAAGAGGCCTAAGTACAATATATAGCCTTAAGGAATGTCTCGCATGCCATGTAGGATCGAATATGACGTAAAATAGGTTTGAATAGGGAAGCGGGATCTTTTTCAGAAGGTGGGTGCTTGAAGAGAAAAAGTGTGGTCCGGTGACAAAAGCTGAAAAAGTTGAAATGAAAAATAAAGATGCATGTGTACTAAGTCTTTATTTTTTATTTCTTAACGAGGTCCACCAGTGGTACCTTGCATTGAGGAGAAAAAATAAATGTAAACGGCTCAAATTACTTTTTGTCATGAGTCATATGTATCCATATGCTATCATTATACATGCCTAAAAAAGGTCTCTTGCGCCAGGGCGCGGTCAGCACAAGTTTGCTTCGCTCACGTGAGGTGGATGGATGGTGCTTCCCATGGAGAAAAAGAATGCGACGTGGACCATTTGGATTTGTGCTAGCAGCTCCTGTCCTGTCTGGCTGTCTCTCATGTCCTCGTCGATATTCCATTTCGGGGAACGCATCATCTTAGCGTGAGCCTTCATTTCCGCACACGTGAGCTTCATGTACTATGCAGATTATATCGTGGTAATGTCTTGTGTTAAAAACACAACAAACGACGCGATTTTTCAAGACCCAAACCACGAGGCCAAGAGAGACAGCAGGGACGGAAACGTGAGCGAAATCTCATGGAGATTCCACGGAGGGGATCGTGAAAATAAGAAGGGAGAAGAAGGCCTAACCTTAGGCGTCCAACATCAATCGGCGGGTCCCCTTGCCGCTGCCGCCGTTCATGGCCGGCTACAAGAGATCGCCTTGGTGCGTCTCTCTCTTCCGGCGCTCCCCTGGTGTGGCACCCGCACGCCGGAATGGCCCGGCAGCGCCTGAGATGATGACCGGGGCCAGTCCCGGGTGCCTTCACTACTGGAAGAACCAAGTGGTGGGGAAGGCTCCGAAGATGCGCGCGCGCGCGCGCATGTCTAGCTGGATCTCACTGGTTTGGAGGAAGACCGGAGCCGAAGGAGCATGTCCAGCCCTCAATATAAGGAGGCCTTCGCATGGGCTGCACCCTTTCTGCCATAGCGTGACTATGTCAAACCATCTGAGTGCATTTTTTTTCTTTTTTTTATTACGCTAGGGAGGCAGGTCAAAAGGCGAACCAGATTCGCGGGCGTGATGACAGGTCAACGGCTACGGACCTAATTCCTTATATACTACTCCCCGTTCCGAATTACTTGTTTTGGATTTGTCTAGATACGGATGTATCTAGACTCATTTTAGTGCTAGATACCTTCGTATCTAGACAAATCTAAGACAAGTAATTCAAAATGGAGGGAGTACTAAATTCGGAAACCTGGGGATCTCCAAGGCTGACCCTAAAACAACCCAAATGCTTAATAGTGCAGCCGCACTGTTTCATTGATACGAGCGCACCCTCGTGATGTTGTCCGATGTCATACATGTGACTGTGACACGTGATTGTTGTAGGGACCGCGTGGTACTAGTGATGGTAGTGCATAGGGCGTAAGAATTGGACGGGGCTTGCATGCTCCCTCCGGGTGCTCCCATCCGTGCTTCCGATCCATCAATTCTTCATCGAATGGCTACATTAGTTTCCACCCCATGCTTTCCTTTTGCAACGAAAGAAAAGATAAATAAATCATGTTGATGCGGAGCATCCCAAGGTTATCCCCATGGACCCACCTACGTCTCCCACGACACCACTTGAACCAATGACAAGAGCATGAGCAAAGGCTATCGAAGATAAGGTGAACTCGCTCCTTTCCGAACTACCACTTTCTATGCATGAGACATGGCTGCTACCTCAAACGGAAACACTATGTGTGATCAGGTACTTGGAGGAGAGCCATGGAGCAGCTACATCCATCGGACAAGACGACGAGGACACCAAGCGTCAAGCCCAAGGAAATCAGGCCAAAGAAAGCTACAGCGGCCGGACGTCCGACACCTCCCAGGCTCCGGACGACCGACCATCTCCGGGCGACCCTACAACCGAATGGAACCAACGAAAGTCCGAGGAAGACCGGACGACCGGGCCCCTATGGACGTCCGACGCCACGGCGACCGAGCGTAATCTACGGAAGTCCGAAGATCTACCGACGTCCGGACCGTCCCGAGCCTCCGGACGTCCGACGCCCACTGGACATCTGACCCCTGGCTGTGTCCAGTTACGGGCTGAGGCCCATGTACCCCTTCACTTTGCCCCCCTTTTGTACTACGACTATAAATAGACCTCGCCCTCCTCCTAGCTAGGGTTAGCAGAGGATTAGCTCATATTTATGTGAGAGCTTTGCTCATCCACTTGGTTACCTACTCCTCGGAGATCGCGCCTCCTCGGAGAAGATCCCTCAAGCGGATTCAAGACCCCTTCACGGGAAGAACCTCAAGACCTCCTCACGGAGAAGATCGTGCTACTTGTATCATCCCTAGTTGACTATGGATCTTGTATCTCTTTTGTGTTCGAGGATCTAGCATATGTGTGATCATTCTTGTTGGTTTTAGTGTTTCTTTCGTGTTTTCCCTCGCGTTTCCCCTCGTGTTTCCCCTCGTGTTCTTCGTGTTCCTCGCGGGATCCGCACCTTTCGTGAAAGATCGGCCATCTAGGGTTCCACCCTACATCATCTTGGTATCTAGAGCCACGTTGATCACGATTTCGGAGCCTCCCCGTTGTGTTTTCTAGCCTATTTCTGTTGTGTTCTTCCCCAAATTCGAAAATTCCCCACAAAAATAGCCCCATTTTTTTGTCATTTGTTGGTGTGATGAAATTTTGTTGGATTTGATCCACGGATTTTCTTTGCCTTGAGTGGATCTAGCTTCCCCCTTCGTCTCCACCTTTTTCATCCACAAAATCGCCTGGATTTGACCATTTTCGCTACATCCACCTCGAACCCTAGCAGTTCATCCCGTGCCCGAATTTTGCATAGGCACCGGACGTCCGACAACTTACGGAAGTCCGACGACCGGACGACCGGCCCCCTCCCGGACGTCCATAAAACCCTGACGAAACTGAAATTTTCACCCCCAAAAATTTCAGCCACCGCCCCACTTCCGCATACGCAGAGCCATAAAACAACCACTTTCCGCAACCACCTTATGTTGATCCGCTACGCAATCCGACACAATTTTTTCCACATTGTGCTTTGAGAATTTGAGTTGCGGTTCTGTGTCCTATTGTGTGTCGGCTATTTAGGTACGGCTCGTCATGAACATCACCGCCGCTCATCTTCGCCACGGATTCGTCATCGACAACAACCACTCCACCATTTTGACACCATACCGTAAGCAAGAACAGTAACCTCATCTTTGTTATCGTGATACATCATTCTTGCCATTGCATTGATAACCCCATAGCCTTACTTTTTGCGTAGCTTACCCATCGAGACTAGCCTTTGAGTATTGCTGGCAACGTGACTTGTGCACATTAGTGATCATACTTCCCATAGCATACATACCATAT